TTGGGCTTGTTCTCAAATTAGGACCAGCTTCAGTTATGGGCTTATATTGTCTCCAGGCCCCTGTTGAGACTTGAGAATCAATGAAGACCTCCCTTCATCAAGCCTTGTTTGTCATCACAATTCACAAATTTTAATGGAGAATGGCCATATGGTAAGTCACCCTGCCATAATTGGTCCATTTACGATTCCCTACCTTCCAAGAAAGGAGATAAGTATTTTTTTCACGAGAGACTCATTTCATCTTGGCACTCAAAAAAAGAAAAGACAAAAAGGAACCCTTTAGTCAATTGATGAAAAGAGTCACTTCGACGATGGTGGAGAATCAGAGTTACAGTAGCAGCAATCATGTCTCTTTAATTGTGGAAATTTTTAGAGTTTTTAACATACAAGAGAGTCCAAAAGAGAAGTTATTTTTAGGTTTGATCAAGTGTGTATAATGTATGTTATGCTTGTTATATTTCCATGTCGAGGTATTGTGAAAATCATGAAATTCGAACTTCTAAGTTTTTAGATTATGGCTTGTGCCTAATTATGAACCTACTCAATATAATTTTCACTTTGCATTTGGATGAGAGAAATACCTCAGAATTTAATTAAAAGTATAGAATTTAATAGGAGAAATTAACAATTCTCTTGTTTTGTAACTTAAGCACAAAATTTATTAAATGATGCGCATAAAAAATCGTAAAAATTGGGGCATCAAATTCCCGAGTTTAATTTTCACCAAAATAAGTGTCATTTCACAATTTTCATAATGTCATTCAGGGACGGATCCATTCCCAGGCTAGCCTGAGCTATAGCCCAGGTGTCTTGATTTATTTTAGCCTATAGTAATACTCTCAGCCCACCCAAGCAAACCCCACACACCCTCTTGCATAGAAAACATCCCTTAGCCAATGCACGCACACACAAAAAAGAAAAAAAAGAAGAAGAAATAGCCAATCATCCTTGCTACACGCCAATTAACCATGCCCTTCAATGCTTAATTAAAGCAAACCAAATTAATCTTTAATTATTAATCTTCTTTTATTGTCTTAATTTATTGATGTTGAAATGTTGGTACTTTTTAGAGTTTATGAAGTATCGATTAGGGATTTACAATTTTTTTATTGAAAAAAATTATATTTAATTTTTTTTTTTGACTTGGCCAAAACATTTTATTGTACAGGTTTTGTAATTAAAAATAAACAAATAAAAGTAGGAAAGCCCCTTATAGTCCCCAAAAATTCCAATATATTTTTAATTATAATCATTCATGTTTTACGCCATAAACCCTTAATAATTTATACATTTTTGGAAAGAAAAAAATAGCTTCTACATTTCTAATTGTTTTATTAGTATGAGTTTATTTCTTTTGTTGGTTAGTGTGAGTTTTTGTTTCGGTTAATTAATATAGGTTTTGTGTTTTAAAAAAATTGGAAATTTGTACACATCGATCCCACGATTATGTTCCTCCCTTCAAGGCTTGTACGTAAAGTAAATATAGTCCACCCTAATTTGAAATCCTAGGTCCCTCCCCGGTGCCATTTACAAAATTATGTTATTTACAAAATTCAACATATATAAATCCAAACATTGATATCTTCAATTGACATAGATTGAAATGATGGAAATCTAAATTCTGTCATTTTCAATTCCTTCATCCAAATGGAAGGTTGGGATATCAATGATAATTCCTCCCTCGTTACTGCTAGAGCAATTCCAAAATTGGTGTACACCATCGGCCTAAGCAATAAATTATTCAGCTAAGCGTCATGTACTGTAAAATTTTTGTACATACATAATTAGAACTCTCTCAAGTCATGAACAATTCTTTCGTTACACAGTTTAGGAACATAAGTGAAATCGAACTCCATGCATGGCCCTGCGGCCCCCCCCCCCCCCCCCCCCCCCCCCCCCCACCCAAAAAACATATTTTTATCAATATCCTTGATTATATTATATATAATATATAGAATTTGTAATAAACAACTTAGAATTTAAGTTAAAATTTCCTCCAAAACAAATTAGACATGACTTTAGAAATATTTAGCTCTAAACATGTAAGTATTGAATACTTAGGTGTTTTATATACTTGTATTTTCTACTTCGGCCCCCCTAACTTTACAATTCTAGCTCCGCCCCTATCCATATGGCCAATAGGAAAATAAAACAAAACCATCTTCTGTCATATTCATAATGAAGTACATTGCGAAATATCCACACAATTATTAAACTGGTTGGAGAAGAAGAAGCACAACATCAATTAACTAAAAATTAGCAAGTGACTTAGGTATCTAATGTCCCTATCTAGATAGCAACTAATCAGCACATGCAAATTGGATTGATTGAACATATGCCACGTACCCTAACCCGCTATCTGACTCTTAACCCAGTTCATGAAGCAAGCCAGTCACAAACTTTGGTTTCTTGTAAATTCCACAGAAAAAGCATCCAATGTTTTCATCACCGATTGGTCTAGCAGTTTTCAAACAGCCCGACAAGACAAGCAAGGATGAAGAGGAAAGTTCCAAGTCTTTAAAAAAAACATTTGTAAATTGAGCTTTGACTTATAAAATTCATTTTAAATCACTTACAATCCTTTTCTTTAATTTTCTATTTAAAATACCCAATTTTTTAAATAATACCCGATGATTATGATACAATTAAGCAAGTTACCTAATATAACTTTTAAGTTAATGTGTTATTGGAGGAGGGGGAGGGGGGGAGGGGTGTAACTAATGACACACATTGAATTTGGAAAGATCTCCAAATGGTTGTAATGGATATATGAATTCATTTAGAAACTTATTTGAAATTAAATATTAAATTCAACATTAACATATTAGTAATTTAGAGGTGATTAACGTTTTGGTTTATTTAATAAAAAAATTATGTTGTTTTCCTTTTATGAACCTATTTCCTCCAATTAGGTCCCTGCCAATTAGTAATAATGTACCTAGTAAAATTCAAGGGACCTACATTGGACAATCCCAATAATAAAATTGACAAGTCTGGAGTACATGTAAATTGTCTACATGGGCTGGGGCCCTTACCCCGCCTGGACAGGTTCGAGGAGAACAGAGGAAAATCCATAGCACTCCATCAGAGGCATCAACCTCTCCTTGGCTTGGTCTTTCTGGAATCTTCACTGCGCTTTCCATAGATAAAGCGCTGATTGATTGCCTCGTCGAATCTCCCATCATACATGGCGGAGGTAGAAGCTAATATTTGTGGAGCCGGGGGGCCAGTACTATAAAATCAAGATTATATAGAATTATATTTTGACTAATATTGCGTATGATATTTAAGAAATAATGGAGTTTTCATGGAGTTTTGGGGACCGCGGCCATAGCAGCCCTGTGGCTCCACCCCTATGCCCATTTTCAACTCGCGCTAGTAGCTACCCTCTAGCCTGCCCCCACACAGCTATATAAACTTGCTTGCTGATATGGATGTGGCTTGAAAAAGGTTTCTCGAGAGTTTGGCTTTGCCTGTGACTGATTCTAATGTTATACGTTTTGCCTCAATATGAGATTGTGCTAAGACTACATCTACATGCGGTTCTTTCAAAGTTCTTAACCGGTTGGAGAAAATGACTATAAAATTAAAGCTATGAGTATTCTTAAGTTAGACGTCCTGTCGGTTTATAATACGTTTACGGTCAGATTTAGTCTTTGTGTGAGTGTGACCTACCTTTGCATTATTCTTAAAGCTATACATATATCTAATCCTATGTTGTTTTAAAGGCTATATATCAGTTCAATTAGGGTTCTTATTAAGGGCATGGCAGTTATAAATTAATTAAAAATCCTAAGAGTTATTTACACTAACACTTCTGAAGTTTTTTAATTTTTCACAAAATTCTTGAGAAATTACATGAACAACCATTGAGGTTTTAAATTGTTTTTACAAAACTCATTTTCATTGATTTTTCATCCAAAGATGGATGATTTTATACAAAAAAAATTATCCAAATGACAAAGTTGGCCTTTGAAATTAGATTGCATGTACTTCATTGAGGTTAATTTTGCCATTTGCATAAGTTTTTTTTTCTCAATAAAATCATCAATTTTTGGATAAACAATCAACGAAAAGGGGTTCTGTATAAACAAACTGAAACCTCAAAGGGTGTTCGTGTAATTTTTGAGACATGAGAGAGTTTTATGAAAACACAAGAAATCTCATGAAGTATTAATGTAAATACAGCCTCCACGCACGTTTTTAACAAGAAATCTCTTTCGCACGTTTTTAACAAGCGATAGCAGGGTGAAGAAAATCGAACCTAATACTTCGGATGCTGAGAATATTTATATTGAAAATACTTATGATGATAAATGCATTTGGTAGAAGCGTTTTCATTATAATTATTTATTTATTTTTAAAATATATATTTTTTTACAAGCGATAATGGAAGAGTGAGATTCGACCCGGCATTGCAAAAGCATAATAATGTCTTCAAACGTAAATAATGACAGAAAATTTGGACCCATCTTCATTAACGTTATTCCCAAATGCATTTGAAACTCCAAGGCAGGTTTTTTTTTGTACAAAAAAAAATTCAAGGGAGAGTTGAGACCAATCAATTGGCATGCTATATATGACGTGAAAGAAGAAATGCCAGTTTCTTCACATGAAAGTTGGAGAAAAACCCGTTTCACCATAGCCAATAGCTCCTCTTCCTCCTCCCTCTCCTACCGGCGGCGCCACCCTCCACCTCAACCACACAACTACCGCCATCACCGAAACCCGGATGGGAATGCAGACCCTTCCCTAACCATCGCGAACCCAAAAAAACGAAGAAACTCCATCTGCCATAGAAATTCATATGATACCATTGTTACGTTAGAATTGCACTTGATTAAATCGTGCATGAACATGTAACAACAGGGGTCACATTGCATCGTTCACATTGTTTCGCGAAAAACCCATTTCGAATTTGGGATTTTCCGATGTGGGTTTCTTCTTTCTGAAGGTGTTTGATCTGGTTTTGAAGGTTTTGTATTTCTGGGGGGGCGGCCATGGCGGCAATTGTGAAGGAGATCCTGGCAAGGCCAATCCAATTGGCGGACCAGGTGACCAAGGCCGCCGACGAGGCACACTCATTCAAGCAAGACTGCGCCGAGATCAAATCCAAGACGGAGAAGCTCGCCGGCCTCCTCCGACAGGCGGCGCGTGCGAGCAACGAGCTCTACGAGCGCCCCACGCGCCGCATCATCGACGAGACGGAGCAAAACCTTGACAAGGCCCTCACCCTCGTCATCAAGTGCCGAGCCAACGGCCTCATGAAGCGCGTCTTCACCATCATCCCCGCCGCCGCGTTCCGCAAGACCGCACAGCAGCTCGAGAACTCCATCGGCGACATGTCTTGGCTCCTCCGCGTCTCCGCGCCCTCCGGCGACCGCGACGACGTATACCTCGGCCTCCCTCCGATTGCCTCCAACGAGCCCATCTTGTGTTTGATATGGGAACAGGTCGCGATTCTCTACACTGGGTCTGCGGAGGACCGAGCGGATGCGGCAGCTTCTTTGGTGTCGTTGGCCAAAGACAACAATAGGTACGTTAAGCTCATCATCGAAGAAGGTGGCGTGCCTCCGCTGCTGAAGATGGCCAAGGAAGGAGGAAAGGAAGGTCAAGAGAACGCCGCGAGGGCAATCGGGTTGTTGGGTCAGGACCCGGAAAGCGTCGAACAGATTGTGAACGCTGGTGTGTGCCCGGTGTTTGCGAAAATACTCAAAGAAGGGCACATGAAAGTGCAGACTGAGGTTGCATTGGCTGTGTCTGAATTTGCCGATAGGCATCCGAAATGCCAAGACCCTTTTGCTCAGAACAATGTGATCCGATTGCTCGTCAGCCATCTCGCTTTCGAGACGATCCAGGAGCATAGCAAGTACGTAATCCCCAACAAGCAGCAATTGTCGATACATTCGATTGTGATGGCGAACAACAATCCGAATAGAAATGAGTATGATCATAATAAACACCCTGGTGGTAGTACGGCTCACGTTTCACACCCGATTACGGGGAATCACAACCCAATTAATCAAATGCAGAGCGTTGTTAATAGCACTCTGGCTTCGAAGAAAAGCCCTAGCCCTAGCCCTGGCCAAGGCCACGATCAGAGCCCTGGCCACAGCCACGGTCACAGCCCTGGCCCTGGCCATGGCCAGGGGATGAAGCAGCCCGGACATCATAATCAGAATCAAAACCAGAATCAGAATTACAATGTCAGTACCCATCATCATCATCCTCATCCTAACCACAACAATGCAAAGACACACCACCCCAATCATGTGGCGCTATCGGGGGCTAGCATCAAGGGGAGGGAGTATGAGGACCCGGAAACCAAGGCAAAAATGAAGGCTATGGCAGCTAGAGCGCTTTGGAAGCTTGCCAAGGGGAATGTCACCGTGTGCCGTAACATCACGGAGTCAAGAGCGCTTTTGTGTTTTGCAGTTTTGCTAGAAAAGGGTTCTGAGACAGTTCAGGAGTATTCTGCCAAAGCGTTGATGGAGATCACGGCGGTGGCAGAGCAAAATGCAGACTTGAGGCGCAATGCCTTCAAGCCCACATCCCCTGCCTGCAAAGCTGTGGTTGAGCAATTGCTGAAAATTATAGAAGAGGGAAACTCACACCTCCTCGAGCCCTGCATCCAAGCTGTTGGCAACTTGGCAAGGACTTTTCGAGCAACGGAAACAAGGCTAATCGGGCCATTGGTGAAGCTGCTCGACGAAAGAGAGACAGACATTTCCGCCGCGGCTGTGATTGCACTTAACAAATTTGCCTGCACTGAAAATTTTCTCCATCTCAACCACTGCAAAGCCATTATAGATGCAGGTGGTGCCAAGCACCTAATTCAACTTGTTTACTTCGGGGAACAAATGGTTCAGATTCCTTCCCTAATTCTCCTCTGTTACATTTCATTGCATATTCCAGACAGCGAAACACTTGCTCAGGAGGAGGTGCTTATTGTGCTTGAATGGTCATCAAAGCAGGCTCATCTGGTTAATGAACCCTCAGTTGAAACATTATTACCAGAAGCCAAAAGTAGGCTGGAACTTTATCAGTCCAGAGGGACAAGAGGGTTTTACTGATGTAATCTTAAGTTGTACAATATTAATTTCTTTAGGGAAATATAAAACAGAAATTCCAGAGTTACATGTATGTCTTCTTGTCCTCATTTTTGTTAAGGTGTGCAAATATATATATATATATACGTGAATTAGTATTGCTGCATTTTAATTTAATTTCTACTTTTCTTTTTCTTTTTCCACTGTCCTAATTGTTCAAGCTCAACTTTCAACCTGTTTGTAGTCTTCTTCTTCTTCTTCTTTTCTGAATTTTTCTGCAGGGATTGGCAGGGGTTGCAGCAGCTTTTCATCATTCTGGTGCCAGGGGATTGTATTACAAAAATGGAGTGGAAATATGAGAGAAATTGATATGATAGGATTTGGAAATGTGGAAATGTTAAGTTGAGTTAGATGATCTCTGTAAACTTCAGTTGAAAAGCTGTAGTCATTTTGTATAACGAGTGCTGCAAAAGAGATGATCGTTCAAGTGGTCTCTTCGACCTTCATGCAAAAACTACAATCTTGTTTGTCTAAGTAAGTACCCACAAAAAATGATTAAAATACGAATAAGAACTCAATGGGGCAAGAGGAATGCAGCCCAAGTGATTAAAAGGTTTAACCCTCCACCGAGTTCTTGTGTTCGAATCACTCTCTCTTGTTCAACTCATGTTACCACATTATATGATCCGTCTCGTCGACGTCGACCTTCGTGCAAAAACAAATTTGTTTTCTGGTCACATTGCTATTTGCTTATGTTTATATATAGCATGTGCAGCAGTGCAGTAATACACAAAGTTTAGGCATCCCTAATGAATGCATGGTGGCCAAATGCCATTAATGTTCTCTTCTCCTACGCATTTCATGCCTATACCTCCAAAACCCATCATTCCTGAACGACAGATTTAACATTTCTTTGAGCCCACAAGTACCTCTGTTTCTGCTGTTCCAGAATTGCCCAGATGTAAGACTAGTCCATATGTCCCACTCCCATGACAAAACGACACGTTGTAGTCTTTTCATTTCGGATGTAAAATTCAAAAGATTGACGCACACACCCTGGCTGGCCGGCTGGCTACCGTGCTCAAGCTAATAACATGCAATGCAACATGCATTCACACACTGCACTGCACTCGTATGGTTTTCATATCTCTCTGCTATTTGTGCTGGATAAAACAACACTTCACACAAATGGTTATGTTCATATCGAAGAGCCGAAAAGACGACACACCACATACATTTCATGCGGCGTATGTGATGCTTGAATTTTTTCTTTTTGAATCTTAGTATTGTTGTGTGTCTTAACTTTTTGAAATTTTGTTATGTCATCGTGATTGTGTTGTATCGTAGATGTATTGCAGATTGAGCAGAATAAAAGAGGTGTCTCCAAAGGGAAAACAACGTAGGCTAAAAAGATGTAGCAATAAGTGTGTTTAATGTTCTGGTCTAAAGGCACGTTTGGTAAGTCGAAGTTGAACTAGACTGGACTATTTCAATTAAATTAGACAATTGTTATGATTGTTGTTCAATGAACTTATAAATGGTGAGACTATATTTATTATATTCTACAATAGTCAAACATATTATGTTTTACAAATCATATCTAAAGACATGAGACTCACAAGGATATACTTGAATTTAACTTCAACCCAGTCTAAGTGGAGCCGAGAAACGAGTCCTATATTGTATAATTATAACGAGTCATTCTATAGTAAGGGCCTAATTATGGCCCTTAGGTTCTTAATTGTTGGATCACGTTAACCAAATTGATCTAATAATTAAGAAATAAAGCCTCACTTAAGGGCCATATATTAGACCCTCACCGTATAATTCTTGTAACTATAACATCTTATATCTCTTGTATGGGGCATGACAACCTTGCCCTCTCATCAATCTCTATGGGCCTCGGGGTATCGGAGTTTGACAAAGTCAAACCTTTGCTTAAGCATTGCAAATATATGGGCCTCAAAATACAGACCAATACAATAAAAATGGGCTATATAGATTTGAAGTGATAATTTCAAGCATGACTCGTTATACGATTCGAAACCCACATGAGAATTTAGCAGGTTCAACCCGCACGATGTTGACCCAATGGTAAAAGGGAAAGCATGTGACCAAATGCAAACTCTCTATGTTCAAATCTTCACAACAGTCAAAAATTCTAGTTTACACAAAACACATGGCTTGCAAGTTATTGTGAGAACAAAAAATAATAATAATAATAATTACTCTGCAAAATTATCATTTGCACTATTCTGTATGAGTGCAAGAATCAAGTGAGTGGTAGTAGAAAAAAATTCAATAATATTTGACTGACAAAAGAAAACCAAAAGTAAAAAACTTTACCGGAAATTGGTCCAATAATCTCCAGAGAAAAGTCGAAGTTTTCTCTTTGAATCATTTATCATTTCTTTTCCCCTTCTATGATGAAACTTCAAAGACGGAGAAGAAAATCTGACAAAGATGACAGAAAACACTACCAAGGCAAACAAATTCGTGGCGATTGTTTAAAAACAAAAAATTATTTATAACTTTATCTTTCTGCAATTTCTTAAAGGGACATGCATCATGCATGGCAGATGCTTTTAAGCTTTTTCAGTACGGTCGTATCTCCATCCCTGCAGAGTATGTTTGACCCCTGGTTAATTTTCCAAAATTGACCCCAAAATTTAATATCAAAGATTTGTACATCTCTCCAAATTGGAAAATAGTGTTTATAAATTTGATCCAAATATTGAAAAATTGCATCTAAAGTAAATGTATTATGTATGAACTTAGAATCAGATGACTCATGAGGTTTATCTTAAACATTGATGATTAACTAACTTATTTTACATCTATGTAATCTTATGATGTGTTTAATAAAGTCCATAAACTTTATGAGTTTGAGTTTTTTTTCTTTTCACAATTCCAAAAATTTTGTTAAGTTTGCTCGATTTCGTAGTATATTTAGGAGAGTCATGTCGGTTAGTTGCCGGTTTTGTCATTAATGTAATTGGACTAGATTCAAGGCAACTATGGTGGTAGATAAGAGTTTTATAAAAGTTATTTTTAGGAGTCTCATGTCCACCATACTACTATTGAGATGACTCCATTTACAGTTCTTTTCCTTTGTATTTTTTATATCTGTTTGATCTAATAAACTTCTATCGGATCGGATTAATATCGTACTTTATTTTGTGTTGTACCAAAAATTGAAGTTTCATTAGTAGTCTCATTCTTTTATTGTACTTATCTACTTTTTATATCGAATTTTTATATATTTTATCATAAAAATAAATTGTAAGTATATTCTTAGTGCATATAAAACTAAAATTACTCATTTTTACATATCTAATATTAATATAAAGCATGGAAAAACTAAATTATACTTCATACTAAGTCGAAGATTATTATCAAATCATATCAATTGTAATCCATGTCCGAATCCATTTATTATCGGATTGAGAAGTCCAATCTATCTCCTATTAATTACACCAAATTCGGATCGAATTCAGATCAAAATCTAATCCATTGACATGTCTAGTATCTACTAAACCACATTAATATTACATCATTCCACTTAGGATATGTAACATATCTTTTTATTGAAATTTAAAAATAAAAAAAATTACATATGGACTTGAAAACTCAAGTTGTGCTTTATAAATGTATAAATTAAAGGACTTTAGACATTAAAATTTAAGGAGATTCACTATTATACCTAATATAGGGGCCGAAATTATAAAAAACCCTACATGAAATGGGCTTTAGAAATACACTTAAAGTCCATTTACAATATAACAAAGAGGCTTCGAACTTCTTATAAATTACAAAGCTGTCATCGATTTCTTAAAATAAGCCAAACTCGGAAAGCTCATAAAAAAATCCAATACACTCAATAGTGCATTAAAATATTAAGAATGCGTATACAACTAAATATCTCTAAAATTTAATGCTTATCACCTAATCCCTCTTGAATTTGTCTCATACAATAACGTTTGTCGCAAGAGATGTAAATATGATTGGAAGTTTTTGGCGAGTTTTTACTATTTCATAATGAGACCCACACAGAAGCAGATTATTTGTCAAACAAACAAATTTTGGACACATTCATTGTATCCAAATCAATCATACTTGATTTAGATTACTACACTTTTGTAAATCCAATTATTCTTTTTCGAGAAAAATAATTAAATTAATTTACTGTGACAAGCACAATCTCTATTCGTTGGAAAGACAAGAGTCACAAGACCCACCGATAAGACTCGACCTGCAGATGCTTTGACCGTCAAATTGACCATTTGACCAGTCCCCTCTCCAAACCCAAAAAAGGAAAGGCTCTTTTTTTCGTATGCGGTCTCGGGGACTAAATAGTAATTTCATCATCTGATTTCCCACCAAAATTACCCTAATTGGATATTCAGCATGGACACCATGGCCTATTTTGTTCCATATTTCCCAAAATACCCTTCTGGGTAAAAAGGTAATAACAAGAAGAACCTGGAAAAAAGAAAGAGGGGAGATATTTTGGGGGTACCAATGAAACGGACTACTCGAATTCCATCCTATCCATTTCCAGGGACCAATCCAACGGCCCAAATAAACACCAATAAATAACGAATATCCCCAGCCGTCGGTTTGGGTTATGCAAAGTAAGCCGTCGCTTCGGTTCTCGCGGGGCCCACTAAGAGCTAACGTGGCAATCAAGCCCTCTCTTGATTTGGATGTATAAGTAGCTGTCAATCCCTCAGCCCCAAAGACCATTTTGTGCTAGAGTGAGAGAGCCGTGTGGGTTTTCTAGGGTTAGGGTTTCAAGGGTTTGAGAGAGAAATTTCAGAGAGTCCAAGATGGGTGAGAGACTGAGTGGTACCGTCAAGTGGTTCAATGACCAGAAGGGGTTCGGCTTTATCACCCCCAACGATGGCGGCGACGATCTGTTCGTCCACCAGTCCTCGATCCGAACGGAGGGGTTTAGGACCCTCGGCGATGGCGAGTCGGTTGAGTTCCAGATCGAATCTGACAGCGATGGCCGCACCAAGGCCGTTGATGTGACTGGACCGGGGGAGGGTCCCGTTCAGGGAAGCCGTGGTGGTGGCGGTGGTGGTGGTAGAGGCCGAGGTGGCGGCGGGGGGGGTTATGGGTTTAACGGTGGAGGTGGAAGAGGCGGAGGCGGTAGAGGTGGGAGAGGAGGCGGTGGCTATGGAGGTGGTGGATACGGCGGTGGCGCAGGTGGATATGGCGGTGGCGGTGGATATGGCGGAGGAGGCGGTGGTGGCGCCTGTTTCAAGTGCGGCGAGTCTGGCCATATGGCTAGGGACTGCGAGCAGGGTGGATCCGGCGGCGGTTATGGCGGTGGAGGCGGCTATTCAGGTGGTGGTCGCGGAGGCGGTGGTGGTTCTTCCGGTGGCTGCTACGGATGCGGTGAATCTGGCCATTTCGCAAGGGAGTGCCCTAACAGGTCTTAGATCTGTCATTTCACCCTTAGTGTCTTTGCTGCTGCCGTTTCTGGGTTTTGTCGTTTAATTAAGTCGGGTTTTTTTCTAAGAAATGTTGACTCATTTTCAGTATGAGGATTGTCGGTTTTGTGGGTCATCTGGTTCTTTCATTCCATGGAAACATGAATTGATGGCTTTTGATGTAGTAATTTTTTTTTCTTTCTTATTTTTAAGATTTTAGTAGTGAGGATTTGGTGTTTTGGCAGAATATGTGGCTTTATGTTTTAGTGGTTGGACTATGATTCATACACATTAATATACTCTGCTCCTCTGTTTATTGTGTTCTGTTTTTGGTATGGTTTCCGTGGCGGCACCGGCGGCCCTCATCACAGCTTTAGGGTTAGGGTTTATGAATTTGAAGTGCTGCTCTTAACCCTCCTATATTATTTGGGAAATTGAAATAGACCCATTGATGCAAAAAGCACAACAATAATGCAATTCTCATTCAATTTTAGAACCCTACTGTTTTTGGTTTGTGGCCCTCTTCTTGTTTCATATGTGCTTTCTCTGGTCGTTCATGCCCTTTTCTTCACTTTTTCTTGTAGTTGGTACATTTACTTTAGCTTTATTTTGTTGTTTTGATAACCCAAGTAGGTAGGTGGAAGATGGGAGAAGGAGAATGATTCTTTGTGAGTTGTTTTTCTTGACCCAACTAAATTGCAAAGAAAAAGGTTATTGGTTAATCTGGGAATATGAGTTTTTGAATGAGTGATTTGTAAATCCTACACAGGTTCAATCCATTGTTAGCCATGTGAGTAATTTTTCTTGGAATTTACCCTGGCACTTTTTGGCTTGCTAATTCTTTTGGGGTAAATGCCAAAAGAGTGAGCTGCTGATTTTGATATGATAAATCTGTCTAATTAAAGACATCATAATGAGTTAAATTCATAATGGAGATGGAAAATTTTCTACCATAAAGAATATAGTGGGCTTTTGGTTTTGCAAGCATTTGTAATTAACTTTTACGGTACAAAAATTCCATGATGAGTAGGCAGTGTGATGGTGTTGGTTTATGGTTAGGAAGCTTTTTGGTTAAGGTTATGATTTGGGAGACATGTGTGACAACTAGTGAAAGGTTTTGCTCGTGCTCGTACAAATAAATAGTGTTTGTACTAAACACTAATTTATTTGAGTAGCACATTTTCTATATTTCTGGGCAGATTTGGATAGATACGATTGGATTTGTCGTCCGGAAAAAATAAGGTACGATTGGATTTGTCAATTCTCATGTGGACCAGGTTGAATTGATCCAGTAATCTGGATTCTAGTCATAGATGGGCTTGGGTGGAAGTGAGGCCCGAGTATTGATGGCTGGTTTTTGAGCCATTGTTTCCCTTTTGTGTAGATACAACTGCAGACCCATTATAAGAAAAGTTTTTTTTTCTTTTTCCGGTTGGAAAAAGAAGGCAAATTTCGGTCATACAAACCGGATTCACAACTCGTGCAACGGTTAAACCAAAGATGGCAGAACTGACAAAGAGTCAAATTAATGGCTTGGGAGGCTTCTTCTATCAAATGAATTGTTTGGCAGCTCTTGAACTTGAATTTTCATTTTATTGGGGCTTAAGTGTAAATCTCATTGATATTTATTTCCCTGCTGGACTTGGCTTTGTGGACTGTTTTGAATGGGGATGGCCTTTTCGAAGCTCATTGGTTTGGGTTCAAACTCCCCTGCCCATTATGCGTATGCCAATTTCGAAATAACCCCTTCTTCACAGTCGTCCAACAAGAATTGATACATGTTCTTCATCTGTAATGGGAAAAAAAATAGACTTCAGTGGTCCTAAAAGAACATGAATTCATGTATGAAAAAGAAAATTTACATAAATGTAACGTTACTAGTATAAAATGAATAAAAACTCTAAGGGACTTGTGGTTAAAGTGATTAACCCCTGCATCCGAGGGCATAGGATAAATTTGTTAGATATGCGTGGTGGCAAGTCACAAGAGGGAAAACAACTTTTGGGCCAAATTATGTTCTCTCTCCCTTAAATCTTAAATTATTCAATCTCTCGTTAGAAAATAAGTAAAATATTTGATGTTCTTCAAAACAAGAGAACATGTATGGAGTTGTATTATTAAAGTGGCTTAGCTATAAGAACTGGCAGACCTACAGAGGCACTGCATCTCCCCTCGCCCTGAGAAAGAGTTTCAAGTGCCTTAAAGTTGCCCCTTCGCTTAGTTTGGTTGTGCACTTCATCTGTTCGACAAAAGGCTTGATGGACTTCCTTTCCTTATCTGTGCAACGCAGCGCACTTATGTTTTTTTTAACTCTGGCCAAAACAACGTCGTTTTGGTCTAGGGGAAAAAATTATGAGAAGATCCATACTCTAGATGGAAAAGAAGGAGGAAAACTCCTTGAGCAATAAGGAGATTTTGCTTATAAAAAAAATTCATCAAATTCATCTTTTTTTACTTCTCCATCACCAATATGTTTATTTCCCTTTTTTTTTGTTTAGCTTTTGTTTGGAGAGAACTTCAAGTCTTTTATAAAAACTGATTCATCGATCAAGCTTTCAACTAATTTTGAATGTAATTCATAGTTAATCGGGGAAAAATAAAAGATGAAACATATTAAGGTTTTTTTTCTTCTTCATCAACCTTCGCGCCAATTTCATTTTTGGCATATGAATGACATTGGTATTGTTTGTCAATTTTTGTTTAGAACTTTTAGCCTTTCAAAATTGCACTTCCGCCAAAAAATTCATCGATCCGCCAATGACTACAAGTAGCTCTTGTGTCATTTGAGGTCTCAAATTTAACCAAATATCACTAGCGTTGCTCGAGATGCTAACCATATATAAATAACAAATGGAATTTGAACACATGCATATTATTTATTGGTGAAAGCAGAACCAAAAGCAAAGCAACAGTCATGACATTAGAAAGAAAAAAAAGAGAGGCTATTTCAACAAAATTCCACCTCTGAAATCACAGGCTTGTCTTCCAAATTGAAATCATTGTCTTCTTCTCTGGCTATCGATTAAAGCAAGAACATTATTATATAATATAGCCATGTAAGAGACAAAAATAAAATGGGGCTTTAACTGAAAAGGCACAAGGCTTTTGTTATTTTCTTGGGGTCGCATGCTAAATCTAAAGTGAACTGTGAAGAACTTTGTGGCTTTTGCTCCGACACTTCTGTGATGCGAGATGGTAGATTATTAGATTCCCACCCACATCACCAGAATTTTATCTCCACACCCAACCAAAGCAGACTTTTATCATACACCCCTTACGTCAGGCACACTTGTTTTCCCTTGTTCTTTAATCTTTTTTTAGGTTATTTTTCTTGGGGAGCTCTCATAATCATGGAACTCGAGCTGGGGTTTCAGAGAAGGTGTAGAGAAAGAGAGATGCTTTCAGTTTCGGCATATATTCTGTGCCTGCTGGATAGCCTGCATGCAATGCCTTTTACTTGATGAATTTTCGTTTTCAAGGTCTGAGTAAAGTGGGAAGCACTCGATACATTATATATCATTGGAAACCAGAAAATTTTAAAGTCTAAAAGTGATGTATATCTATGGGTACTGTCAAAAGAATCCAGTTGGTTAATTTCGTAAGCTCAAGATGGGCAATCTAACACATGCAAGTGCTCAAAATGTTGAGCCCAACATTTTTTTTCTAGTGTACAACCTCTTTATATTCTTGGAGAGAGATAGACACATAGGTGCACTTTGTTTACTTTGTGCTCACCTACGTTATAGCACATAGTGGCGGAGGTGGAAATTTGTCACGACAAGGGGCATGATAATAAGCTTGTGAAATTGAACTTGGGATCAAATTGCATATTTTGCTCAAAGCAATTGAAGTACATATACATCCTTAGATAGTTCGAATTATTTGCCTTAATTTATTATGGAGTTTTTATAAATGAATTAATTATTTATTTATTATAGACTGAACTTCTGTTGAAGTGTCAAATCCATTGCTTGCCTAAATATGCAGTAGGGCAGGACAGTGTATTTCGCTTTTATAGTTGCCATCCACCATTTTGTGACATTAAAAATTGAATTCTTGAAACTTTAACACACAAAAATATACTCATCCAAACCTTATGGGATTTTCAAAATTTTAAAAGAGAAATGGAGAGACAAAACCCTAGGGCATGGTATAACAAAGACTACAAATTTGATTTTCAAATAATTTCATACATTTTCTGCCCCCTTTTATTTTTTTTTTTTTTAAAAATCATGGTCTCATGGCATGTGAGTGCCCTAAAAGCTAAAACTGACGCAGAAAATTTAACAGAGAACAATAGGGTTGTGTAATTTGAAGGGGGTGAAAATGCTCATTTGGGCACCACATACATATTTTGTTTTTTTATAATGTGCCCATGGCACTAGGCGTGGAATAATAGAAAGTGAGAGTGGACAAATCAAGGCCGGTGAGGGTGAGGGTGGTGGATTGGAGCAGGAGCTGAAGTTGTGTTGAAGACCATGGGTGGTGGTGGTGGAGGGCACTGGTAGCACTTGGTGAAGAGCCCAAAAGTGTCAATCTGGTGCACAAAGTTTGTGATGCTCGCCCACCCACCGAATCCAAACCCTACCACAAACACCCACACCACCACAAACACATTGATTGTATATGAACCAATCCACCCTCCCAGAAATCTTGGTGGCCTCTCCACTGCATTCTGCAATCACAAACCGTTCATCACAACCCATCGGTCAAATTGTAATCAAATTGACAACAAACTCATAGCAAAAGGTAGTAACATTTAACTCTTTCGTGTGCTCGGTACGTAATTGGTAATCGTGAGAGAAACATTGCATACAGAGTCAATTAAAAACGGATATTTCTATGCTTTAACACAAAGGGGACCACACATACAGTGTTTCGGGCATCTGGCTGTGTACGGCACATATAATGCATCAACTATCAATAAAAGGCAAAACCCACAGTTGGAGATTTTAAGAGGGCTCCCCAGATAAAGGAGCATCAGTATGTATCACTGTATCAGTACCAGC